CGATAATAGATTTTATTGTGTTGTAAGATTTCCAACGAACATCTTTGTTGAACTTTTTGGCTATGTTGGCCGAGTTTTTCACTGATATTTTGCATGTAAAGAAGGTTAGTAGTAGTAGTGATGATCTTTTTATCTATTTTTTTCTGTTTTGATCTTCTTCAGGGAGTTCTTTTGTTCACAGAATTCTTTGTTGTATTGAAAGTAAGTTGACTATAAGCAAACAGTTGATGAGTCTAGTTCCAACAGTAAAAGTAAGGGAAAACAATTCTTTGACAGATTGTTTAGGCAGAGTATTCATGATGAGTTCACTGAAATGGGTGGTAATTACCTTTTGTTGAAAATACACGAATGTATAGGATAACATTTTGAAAGTCTTCTGTCTTTCATCTTCAGGTTAGTGTGTGGAAGCTGTTGTAGGTCTTTTATAGTATCCTGGTGGATTGTGGAGGATGTGTTTTAATTAGTTGTTTATCTCTGGTCCTGATTGTTTTCCCTTACCTTTACTGTTGGAACTATACTCAAAGAAGGTGTGTATGCCAACACACTGCTTTTCTGCTAGTGCCACTGCCTTGGTTTTGTCTGTGTGTTTTGTTTTTTTTCATATCTGGATGAAGTAAGAGTCAACTTGCCCATACTTCCAATATCAAAAGAAGACTTGCATGATCAACAGTAAGCCCTGTGTACATCAGTATCTTCTCCCAACTGATCCTTAAAGACATCATATTTTAGCCACACACTTTTAAGTTTATAATTGCCTGGCATGTGTTGATATTTCCACAGACGAATAAACAATGCCAAAACATGTTCACAGTAGACTTAATGCAACTTATAATAGCCAAGATCTGCTTCAATATGTCTCAAGCTTCATCTTAAACATTGTAGCCCTTTGTGCAGTCTTGTACAGAGGTAGACTATAATACCAGTACAAGTAGAATTAAAAATCTATATATAAATGTAACTGCAATCAAAGAGCACAACTGAGATAAACTCATCATGAGACATTCTGGTGACAGATTGGCTGTTTTAGTTGATCTGCTAGAATGCTTGTGGGACTTCATGCGGAACATCTCAGCACTTTCCTACAGAAAATATGATTTTTTAAAAGTATGCTGGAAAAACCATAGTAGTCGCAATTGGTGTTGTTTCCTATTAACCCTTTTACTATAGGTGGGTACTATAGGTGCCTGTATCCCCAAAGTAACCCTAAAGTAGTTATACCGTAACTTTATAAAATGCACATGTGTCTTCATAAAATTTTGCAGATTATCAGTAAACATTACAAAGCATTTGTACACAATATATCAGATTTCATTAAGTTTTAAGATTCTTTACTTAATTACTTGCTTATATGGATTTCTTCAATTTGACTGACCTTGTAACCACCATAAAAAAATAGGAAATAGATATAAATTACTCTTTTTTTTTGTTCTAGAATGACTACTTGTACTCTTTTGCTGCTTACCATAATTTGTGCCTTGTCAAATTTCACACGTGGAAAATGCAAAACAAAATAATTTTGTTAGGTTTTATATAAGCATTTTGAAATAACAAAGAATTACAAATTACTATATCAATACTACATAATTCCACTGTAATTTGTAAGGCTTAGTAACTAAGCTGTATTTGGGTTTAAAAAAATATGATTATTCGAGCTCTATAATCTCCTACCTTACCACTTTGATTCTATCATGAAAAAAAGAGACTGAGAAAACCATATGGGGGACATTCTGAGCTTTTGATTGGTTATACACACGTAATTGAGTGAAGTAGGTGTACGTAAACAAGTATTTCCAAAAATGGAAGAGTTTGGCAGGACCACCTTGGTTGATTCAGTAAATATCTTAGAAAACAAAAAAGATAGGAGGTTGTTATCTTATATTCTAGCTTGTCAGTATCGATAATTTTAGTTTCTAATTCATAAGAAACTATAAACTTTGTATTTGGACATCACAATTATCTAATCTGAACCAAAGCTACATTCAATATACCACGTGACACACAAAAATATTTACTTTTAAGTTTAAAAATTAACTAATGTATAATACTAAAATTTTGAATTATAATCTACAATTTGAAACCAGATTCATTGACATACATTCAGAAAACAGCAGTTCAATAAAATTTTGAATGTAAGTCTACAAACATGATGACATGCCCTTTGACCCCTGACCACAGGAAGACCTATCAGACCCATCTCAATGGGGTTAATGGCATAGGCCTAACTGTCAAAGTGACCCAATTACAAAAATAGGTCTAGATCTAATAAACACTTGCATTTGATCTTCAGTAGGCTAAAAGAATTCCAGAAAATCAAGGAAGAGAAAAAACATTTAAAATTCAACCATTTGCCAGGACTTCCAGGAACCATGTGAACTCTGCACATATTTACTTGTACTGTCAGTTTACATGTTACATCTACCTGCAGAGGATTTAATAATTCCTCTTTACTTACAATGGTGAATTCTGACTGTCACAATCTACTTTTCATTCAAAAATAAATTCAATACTGAAAAAGAAGGTGTATTTGAAAAACTTGTGTTTATCGTTTCACATGTGCAATTCCAAAGCACTTTTTTTCTATCATCCCTAATTCCACAATTTTGTTGCTTACTATTTTACATTTGCAAGTTTTCAATTCCTTGAGAAATTTATATTCAGGTTTCAGAATTTGATGACCACAAGTAGAAAACATACATATGCACTTGCCCATACTTGAAATATTTTGTTAACATTATACTTACTAATTAAACAGACATCAGTTATTATGACACTTCCATTTGCTTTGAATAGTTGGTAAATACCTTACCTAAAGTTTGACTACACAGTTTCACAAAGCCAAGTACTTGATTGTATGAATATTGAAAAAAAAAAGTTTTTGGCCAAATAAAGCAAACAAGCTTCATGAGTAATCTTCAGTTATATTTTAAAATGATTTTTGTAAAAATAAAAGCTTGAAACAAATAAATGCAAATAAAGTGAAATTTAAGTACTTTTCTAAAACCTGCAATAAAAGTCAAGCACTTTTCATAAGATACCTTGAAATTGAAGTGCTTTTTAATTTTGTACAAACTATGTATACAAATCTTACATAGGCAATGAGTAATTTCACCCAATTTTCTTTATGCCAACTGTTGGAACACAACAAAACACAAAATTACCTAGTATGTGCAAAATATGGACCCTCCTCACTAGTAAACAATGTAAAAAAGAAAATTAGGTAATTTAAGGATTAAAAGTTTGAAAAATATTACTTACAAGTGCATATGCAAACATACAAAGAGCTAAATATGCATTTATAAATCCTTAGTAAGGCTCTTGAAACACATAAAAGGAAAAACTACACAGGCATAAAGTTAGTTTAAAATCAAAAGGGATGCAAAACTTACAAAACTTGCATTGTGTTTTTCAGTGATGTGTAGTACAAGTATTAAAGTGCACTGTTGCATTCCATAAGATGATATGCTTGTATAATCATATCACATTATGATTTGTGCATGTTGTATGTATGTGTTTTAATCTAAAAGTTGTACACTGTGTTTGGTTCTGAAGTAGGTGTAAAAAGGTTTTACCAAAGTATTCTTTTGAAAAACTAAAAACTGAGCTCTAAACAGATGCATTCACCTTGAGATTAAAACAAACTCCTTTTTGTAAGTGTTTTTCTAGTTGACAGGTTCCATACAGAAAAAGACCATATTGTTTTGGTATATTTATACCACTAATAGATGTGTATTATATGTTATGTGTGTGTGTGTGTGTATATATATATAACCTTAATTTAAATTTTCTTGTGAAAATACACTTGATTGTTGTTTGAGAAGGATGATGTACTCTTTGATAATTGCATTTTATCTTGCATTCTTTGATCTTCTTGGTATCTTGAATCAGCAAAATAAATACTTTTAAACACACTTAATCAAGCTTGTTTAAACACTAAATTACCCACAACATAAACCATCCTTACCTATTTTTATTTGTTTCAATGTGGTAATACAGTTTTATACAGTTAAGACATTTTTCATAAGTTATACTAATATGATAAAGTCTTATCCATAAATCAATTTACTGCTGCATTGTTGCTTCTAAATTGAAGTTTTGCTGTAATCTTAATATCTAAGAAAATGCACCTATTTATAAGTTATCATAATTAACACAAAATTGATATATAACACAGGCTGTATTACCATAAAAATCCTATTGAAAGATACAACTACATTTTAACAAATGATGTACAATAAACTAAGAAAATATGTAAGACAGAAGAGCTGGGCAATTAACTCAATAAATTACAATTACATGAATTAATGTCACAAAAATAAACAAGTAATCAAAATTGTGGTTTCCAATTATTAGTGTTCTCAATCATTCTAACTATTGAAATTTCATGTGAGAATAACTGATTATCATATTCCACTAATCACCTAACTCTACAAAACATTGGAAATAAACAGTATTATAGTATCAGTGTAAACTTTAACGTATGTTAATCTTCCACACTAAATAGTTTAAGTCATTTTCTTTTAAGGAAAATTATTTTGTATGACTATAAGAGCTTTTTCCAGAAAATATTTATACCAAATTTGTAACAATAAATTCTGTATACAGTAATAAATTTTTTCAATTAAAATATTTTAATATAGTGTTACAGAAGAATGTGATACATTAATGCAGTAGTTTAGTGTATTGGAAAAACATATTTTATTTTAAATGTTACTGTGTACATACATTGAATCTTTAAAAGGTTCAAGTGTAAATACATGCCAAGACCAAAGTGTGAAATTACATATTGTATTGTGTTAGTGATGATGTTATGATTTACTAATCATACAAAAAAAATATATAATGTATCTGTTTGGTAGTATTTGTTTAATATAATTCATGCTTGTGATAAAGTGGATAAAAGCATCCAAATGTCAATGTCCTTCACTGGCATAAAATACAACTGTTTTTTTATATTTACTGTAACGGAGTTAGTATAGTATAGGGGGAAAAAGTGTACTTACTTTAACATCATGTTCATTGTACCAGATCCCTTGCTTTACAACACCAAACATGCCAACTCCAATATCTTTTATTATTTCAATGTTGTCAATAGCAATTACCCTGTCAGTAGACAGGGAGATAGGACTTGAAATTTTGTTGATATTTAATCCTGACAAATTTGTAGAGGTTCGATCACATTCTTCTTTAGATTTTGACAGGATTTTCTATGAAAAAGAAAAAAAACAACTTTTAAACCTATCCTACATATACACATAAAATGAATGAGCATATGGCATAGATAGAATTTGTTTCATTTCTTATTTCTATACTTCTAGAAGTTAAAAAGTCCTGCTTAATAATACATGTCAATAATTTACACCTCTATCATTAATTTAAGATGGTAATATTCAAACTTACATTTTTATAATAATTTTCTCCTACTTACACAGTAGCCTCTAATTATATCTCATATAAAGAGCTACCAGTATCATGAAATTGTTTCTTACATTGTAATTAGCATGTTTTTTTATATTTTTTTTTATAATCTATAAAGTGAATATAATATTGCATGCTAAAACAGCTGATAATCAATTAACTATCAACAATTGTATTACAAATTTGTTTTCCTTCTTTTCTAAAGAAAGATAAGAATGACAAGGAAATTTTAGAGGATCAGAAGTCTTTTTCTACCTGGCTGTTTGACAGATTTGGCATCACAGGCACAACTAAATGATTGTTATACAATTCATCAGACTACTCTTACAGTCATATTCAGTATGAATTTCCTTGATGTACCATCATATTGGAACAGGAAATTGAAAGATTCCTAGAAAAAGCTCTATATTCAAGATGTACATCACTTGGTTTTACTGAAGACAAATTTTATAAGCAGTATTTTCATAAATAAAGGTCTACTTATGAATTTCTTTTATGATTCTGTATCATAAATTCTCTTTGAAGAAAGAGAACAAATTGTTGTAGTCTTCATGAGTCATTGACAATGTTGTTGAGTGGATGAATAGATATAAAGAGAAACCTGTTCAATAATTGGTGTTTGTATCTCTTGAACAAATTCTTTTTGAGGATATTGAATCCAAGACTGAATTTAACACTTCTGGCTAATATTTTCAGTGATACTATTGACATTTTGAAACAACAAAAGGTCTATACTTTGGCTGTGGCTCATGCAGGTAACATTCAGGTTGGAAAAGCACTACTTAACATGGAATATCCTCATCTTATTATTTATGATTAGCTCATGCTATGAGCAAATTTATAGAAACAATTAAGAGAGTATGAAGTTCTACTGCAAAAAACATCCCACAACAAGTACTCAAACTTATTGACGTTGAGATTGATAGAAAAAAAGATTGCTCATGAACAACTTCCATATCAACTACCAAGTGCCTTGAAGTGCAGTTAAAACCAAGTGTCCAAGAAAGACATGCAGTCAACATCCTCATCCCCAACAACATCTGCAAGTGCATAGTGGTTGATAATATGTGATAATAAATTGTAAAGCCACAGCAACAATTATATGCATCTTTAATGAATGTTTCAGAATTAAATATATTCCATCTTCAGCAAAACTATCAAATAACAAATTGAACAATCTTAAGTATAAATTATTAATAAAAAAGCTATCTGAATAGAGCAAAGGGGAATGAGTTTGAATTTCTATTGCAGCTTTGTTTTTTTGTTCATACAGTAGTCCCTCTTAGATATGACCGACCTATCTCCATGATAAAAAAGTTGCATCTGACAGGAAGTCATTATTCAAAGGATCAATAAGCAAGTAATGAAGGACCGAGTTCAAGCTGTGCCAGTTGCTATTCCCATGGGTTGAGCATAATGGTTTATATACTGTATAGGTAGTCAGATAACGTAGCAAATTGGTACACTATATACTAATAGTTATGGTGGATAACAGTTCAATAAAGATAACTTTAAATTGCTTTGTTTGTGTTTTACATAAAATAATTTATTCATTAATCACATTTATTTCATGAACATCCACATATCACACTCTTATTACATACATATAAAATATTACAAACTGACACAAAATATATTTCATAAAAAATCATCCATCTTTGTTTGTTTTGCACATATAACGAAGTCACTTTGAATGTTCACGAGTCTGGCAGTTATTATATCAAAAAGTGTTTCATTGTTAGTTTCAGCACATAATTTTAATATCAATTTATAAAATAATGTGCAGTAAATGTCCAGAATTCTACATCAGAGAAACCAGAAGAAAATTGGAAACCAGATTCACCGAACAAAATAAAAAAGAAATCCATACTTGTATTTACCACAACTGCAACTCAAAAAATCCACAGTATATCTATACAAAATGCTGTGATTTTAAACAAAGAATCAAACATCGGAAGCTACGTATCTTAATTGAACAAAACAGCTCCAACCTAAACCAAAATTTCACCTCGAAACTTAGATTCTTTGATCCCAGCTCTGAAAATGGACCATTCCACAAACTTAAAAGAACCAGTAAAGAAATAAGAATAAGTACCTGAACTCTAACCAATACATAATAAGGTAATCCTCTCTGAATATAAATACTACACAAAATGTAATATGTTGCATTAAAACAATTTCAAGTTGACTAAAAATTCTCTAATTTCCATGTTTTGTATATTTTGTTGCTTTTGTCACAACTTTAGTCTATATGAATGTCCACATCATGTTTCTATATCAACACTTCAAGCCTCCTTCTTCACAGCAACTTCCTTTTCTCAGCATGAGACATTTGCAGGTTCCTGGATACCTTGAGGTATTTCATTATCCATGCTTACCACACAGATTAGTTGGGGGTGTCACTCAACAAACTACGAGTTAATAATCTTCACACCCTGCTAGTAAATACTAATCAAGTTATTTAACATCTAGGCCATAAGCTCAAAATCTACTACATTCACTAAAAGAATAAACCTTAATTCTGCAAGCAGGGCAAAGACAAACAACAGTTTCTGACTACCCCTGGTTACCTTTCAGGACCTGAAAGTTTTTAAACCAAAATACCTACATAGGTACATTGTCAGGTTTTACAGGGCCAGACTCTTTACAGTAGGTGTCAGTGACTTGTTGGCAATACCTTTCAACAATAAACAGACATCACATAATCCACTTGTTTTAAAATAATATATTCAAAACAAGTCAAACGTACATATAAAAATTCATGACACTACTGATTATCACAGTTGTATCCAGAATTTTCATAAACTGTTTCCTTTTCATCAAAGTCCACACAGGCTGGTTAAGTTACTTTAGAACCCAATTGACAAGAATTATTTTTCTCTACTCTATTATCACTACTATACACTCTTTATGAATAAACTTACAAGCACAGCCTACATTTACTTGACTATATATCTAACTAACTTTGTCTTACTTTCACTTTCGTTAGATTATCTTACATCACTAACTTCATTGCCTATATATATATATAAAAGTTGCCCAACTGAGACCTAGAACTTTCTACAAACTACGAGACATTATGATATAACAACACTCATTTAAAGCAATGAGAAAAATTCAAAAGGTTCAAGTAACATGACATCAACTCATGACAATTGAGCTACACAACAAATGATTCGTAAATAGTTAGGTAAGCAGACTTGCCATAACTAACACTTCTAAAAATAACTCACTGTAATGCTCATACAATATAAGCTAAATAATACTCTCATATTAAACCCCAAATGAGGAGTCGTGTATATCTAACACATGTATTTGTAAATGGTAAGAATTTTTGCCAATGTAGGTGGCTTTACAGTTAATACATGTACATTTATATAAAACCTTTGAATGTAGTAGTGAAAGTAAAAGGTCTTTGGTTCTAAAAAAAAGCTTCTGTTATGAAGTGACGACTGGAAGGCAATATGGAGTTTAATGTGAGGGAAGAAGGACCCGACTAGCTTGTTGAGTTGAGTTTTAACAATAAGACTTTGTTTTCCAAGGTAAGGAATAACAAGTGTTAAAGGAAATTTGGAATATGATAGGATACTAATCAGTAGAGTTATTTTCTTAATAAGAAAGTTACTTGTTAACTTTCCTAGTAAGGAGGAAGGAAAGTTATTTCATTATGAATCGAGGTGCAATACAAGCAGATTGAGTACCCCTGTGAAGATGAGTTAAGACTAAGTTTAGTTTGCATGATTTAGGCAGAAAACTTTCAAAGCGCGTGTACAAACCAGTAAAAGTTTCTTTCCGTAAACAAAGGTGCTAAATTTGTTGTTTGGTTTTTTGAACTTGAACATCAAGTAAAAAAAAATGTTTTGATTTTAAATTTAACAAGTAAATTTCATATCATGGTGTTGAGAACTGAAGTGTTTGAACACATTGACAAAATTCATAGGTCGTATATAAATATACATGTGTTAGCTGTAAAGCCACCTACATTGGCAAGACTTTTCTCACCATTTAAAAATTCATGCCTTGGAACACATGGGAGTTTCTAACAAAACTGGACTTAAATCTCAAACTCCACCTAACTCTCCTATATATTCTCACAACAAAATATCCTCTCATAGCATTTCCTTAGAACATTTTTTGTTTTTAATTTATGGATGTAATGATCATGAATTGTTGATAAAAGAAAGTTTGAACAATAAGAATCAAAATTCAAGGTTCAATAGAAATTCCAACTCATCCTCCCTTGCTTTATTCAGATATCTCTTTTTTTATTGAATGTTTTATAATTTCCTAACACTATTCATTGTATTTTTTTTATTAGTAATTATATTTAGACTTCATTTTCCACCATATGATGAAGTGCTGTGGGTGCAAATGAAAGGAGTGCTAAACCTGTTGCAATAAGTGTCATATACTATCCAAAAACTTGAGGGAGGCATACAATTGATGTCTGATGTGTTCCCAAATTCAAAAAATATGAGATAGAACTGTGAAAACATTTTGTGGCAATCATTTTATACGCAATTGAAAAATAATGTTTGATAAAATTTAAAATAATAACACAAATACAAATATAAAGACAGGATTCCTATAATGCATCATTCTTTTATCATATATAAATTTACAGTCCCAAGTGTAACCTTGGCTATATGGGCTCTACAATATGTTGTCTAAGCTAATGTATTAAAGAGCATGCACAAAATACAGCATATAATCAGTCATCCATCCTTCACCACTGTTTACAGGACTGTGAAAAAAATGTCACTTCAAAAAACTTTAAAATCTTGGGGAG